CTCATCTGGCCCATACGCCTTTTTTTTTTTTACTAGCACGTAATTTTTCCGTAATGAGAATAATAAGTATATATCTAATAATATTATTAAGTTGTACCTATATAATACTGACCTAAATAACATTTCCTCCTTTTTGATATAGTTAAAGATATCATAGTAAATGGTATGTATATATATATATATTAATTTATTCACATATAATTGAAAAGTCATTTATACATTCTTTTTTTCTCAAACGGACCATTTCTACCGATAGTAAAATGTATATCAATTACCCACTTATGTTTTTTTTTTTTTACGCAAACACTAATTGAAATAGTTTTATTGGCTATTTTAATGAATAAAAAAAATCCATACTCGTACATAGGTACATATTTTAGCATGCTTGTATATAGGTATACCTATGAACACTTATATGTGTTAAAACAAAAACACTTTTTAATGTAGTTTAAATCAAATAATCAAGTTGTTTATCATTAAATGCAGGACAAAAAAATACATTAAAACGTCGAATGAGTAATATAATAATATTATTATTATTTATTATCTGACCGCTAAGGCATCACTCTCGTTTGTTTATTTTCTCTTTCGCAAATAACTCTATATCGTATAGGTGCCGGAAGGACTGTATATATTAATAAATAATAATAACATAAACACAACGGTTTATAATGTATAAACGATAATTCAATAATTGTGTGGTTTATATCGGGTACGACTACAATAATAAATATAATATTAGTTATCGTCGTTAGTTATAGTACAGTTAGTCATTACAAAGTACGTCTACGCGGTGACGGCTTTCAGACGATTCGTAGATACGGACATCAATGATAAGAGTTAACTCCCATGCACATTGCACATATCGTGTGACGACAACAACGATGACATCCGGCTTGAAATAATCTGCCGCGTTTTCACAGATGGCAATAAATAAAAATGTCCTGATGAGAAATCACTTTTATATTTTTTGTATTGGCGTTACTGAAAAATGTGTTTACGCTATCTGCAGTAACTTATTTAATTTTATTTCTGAATGGGTTATCACTAATTTTTTTTAACCCGAAAATTTCGAAATACACCAACGTCATCAACGTTAAAAATATCGATACATAAACGCAACATACAATTGATGGTTATTAATAATTTTCCAATAAACCGTAAGATAATACGTAAAAAAATTGTCAAGAAGCGTCCACAATTAATATAATTTCTGTAATATCTTGATAATACGCAAAAATGGTCTACTTCTTGACAATAAACCAGAAACTAAAATAATGACTAGTCGTTACATCGTGAGGTTAACAAACATATATTTTTTTAAATAATATGAAGTAAAACAAGTTTCAAAATTAAATTCTAGGAAAATCAAATAGGTACCTACTAATATTACTATTATCTTTATTATTATACCTAAAGGAACAATGAAAATTATTGCGGCTAGTAATATTATGTATTGATTAGTTAATAGTCACAGTGGCGCCACTCAATACACGTCATTCGAATTATCAAGATTTCGAAATAATGTAAGTTAGACACGACTACCAAATGAATATAGTTTGAACTCTATGCGAGCCTTATAAGTCGTTTTTATACTATCATTCATATAATACATATAGTACTTCATATTCGTGTCATCAATAACTGTACCTATTGATATAATGGTATTATATAAAAGTACATTTGTTTTGTCAAATAATCAGTTTTTTGGGGCTGATCTATATTTTATACCTATAGGCTATAATATGAAAACTTGGAAGAGTTATTATTGTCTATTTAGTATTATAATCGATAACACGACTCGTAAAATGGTATATAGTTATTAACAATATTCTGTTGCATTGCCTTTAAATATTAGATATTACAAAATTAATGCTTCTTGGTTAATATGTCAACAATACATTGTCTTATGAGCATAGTCTTATGGTTTTTTAATTTAAATTACGTATAGATACAAATTTGAAAGCAATTTCACAAAGGTCAAAACCTCAAAATATAGTATTTATACTTATTATGAATATAATATAATAAATAGACTATACTTCACGTGTAATTGCACACGAATTAAATACTTTTTCTTATAGAACAAATAATATTGTTCACAACTGAAGAAACTAAAATATGTCCATTCAACCGAAACCCATTCTATAAATCATAATAACACAATAATTTCTCCTCCGAATGCGTGATGATGGTTACTTCAACAATTTAATTGCAATTTTGTATCAGCCTATCACTATATAAAATTATCTTTCGACGTAAAACGAGAAATAGCCCTTTCGCATTTATATTACCACGTCTGACGCAGCTAAACCTTACAATAAAACAAAACAACGACCTACATAAATTTGTGTTTACTGACAGCGCGTACATTAAAAAAAAAATGGATCAATTTTTTCTCGTGTACCTACACCTATATTACGTTACTTTTTCGTTTTACTATAGCAAGAATTATAATTTCTTTCCGATTATTTTCCAAGAAGTTTAATGATAGCATTGTTCAATTGTTTGAATAGATATCAAAAAAAAAGGTGCCGAAATTTGTATCGATTCAAAAAGAATATAGTAATAGAATTGTTTCTAACAAATTAATTAAAACTAATTTAAAATTAAAATATATATATAATTCTTATTTAATACAAATTATTACACCTTGCGATTTTCACAGAATAACCAACGTAATAAATATTTTATTTTTTAACGTCTATTGGTGTTAAACAATAATATATCCCATAAAACTTCACAAGAACTAATAAAAATTAAAAAAGTTGTTCCCCTAGTTCTCGTTTATAAGTAAAATTTGATAACTAGACTACGTGACATGTCGTATCAATATTCAATATTTAAAAAATATATTACATGCGTATTGCAAACATATGATAAACTTGAGTAGGTAACTAATTTCTCTAAATAAACAACTCCTAATCATTTATACATTTTCTAATGCAATTTAAGACTATCATTGTTTCATAGTTCTTGCTATTCTCGTTAATCATTAATTAAAAGTTATTAAAAATAAGTAGATACAATAAAGATGATTATTTAATTTGGGGAATTAAAATCTGATTGATTTTCATAAAGAATATTTAGAATATAATATCGTGTATTCCAATTACTTAAACTAATTTTTATTAAACGTAATAATTTTACTAAGAAATGCTTGAGTAATGTGTAAATTATTATAACTGAGCACTTTTTTTTTTTAAATATCGTTACTTTATCTTTATAGGAATCTCGAATTCATATCAAATATACTCAGATGTTTTATAAGATAAGTATGTTATGTGTATTGCGTAGTACATATATTAGCTAGAATACATTATGTAAACAGCATTGTTGCTTGAAAAAAAAATAGTTATTTTTTTTTAAACAATTTGGTTTATACTCATATATATATATACAATATATATGAATATTATCCGTGGTTGATAAATATTTTCAAAATAAACCAAACAACAACAAGTGTCGCTATACATAAACTGTTCGTATGACGTATAGTAACAATAGTAAATTATTTAGGGCTTTATAATACGACCAACTATTATAATAATTACTATGCGAAACTATGTGCATGAAAATTAATACCATTACAGTCCCTCTAATACAGCTTGCAAAAAAAAGAATTACAACATCATAACCAATTTTCTTGTTCTGCAAGTTTGGAGTAGCGGGTCACCCGTATTTTTCACTAATTACACATAGGTAGCACATTTAATTTGTTGAAATATGTTTCAAAACTATTATGTTTTGCGGTGTGACATTACGGCTGTTAAGTGTTGATGTTAAGTTCGATAGGCTTTCAATTCATAACTGATATCTTACCAATATGTTTTTGGATGTACACGGAATACAAAACTAGACGGATAAAACATATCTATAATATAATATAAGAATATAATATCAGTGTCTAATTGGAGCATGGTCATTTAACTTTTCGTGGTAAATCAATACTAGACATAGTATTTAACAACCTATTAAATTTTTTGACACTTGTTTCAGTTAAATTGATGATTAGAAATGAAATAGTATAAGTGGTTTAATTTCCTTTGAAAAAAAAAAATATTATGCTAATACATATTTGTAAACAAAAAATTGTAATATCTTATTTTAATGTTATTTTTAATATTTAATTTAACTACCTAGCAAAAAAAAAAACGTCTATACATCATTTCAACACATTTTAATATGTTAATCAAGATTCGACTTTTTGATATAATGCAACAAAAAAAAAAAAAAAAAAAATCGCGACAAACATTATACATCAAAAAGGTTTCATTAAAATTGATTATATACCTATACTGTTATTAAGAGTAATTTTGAACAAAAACAATTATATACATGACATTAAACATTGTAAACTGTACCTACTTATACTGGCAATACTTATTATACCTAATAATAATGATCGTATTCGATTTTATGAAAAAATAGTTTTATATTCTGAACAGAATAAAAAGCAACAGTTAGACTTGCAATTTTTATATAATAATTTAGTGTTATAATTTTTCGATTACTTCAAAGCTACAAGTATAAAATATTTCATTTAAAAAATTTACTGGAAACCAAAAATAAATTATATTTCTAGAGAAACCTTCGAGAGAAATTTTTCAAATTTGCTAATAAATTTAAAATCGAAGAAATATTGTAATATACAGCATACCAAATGTTTACACAATATTAACATAATATTATATAATTAATGATTATAAATGACTGTATAGTGCATACTATTATTACACGCAATTCCAAATAAAACACTTAATAATATTGGATAAACATTTTCAAATATCATCGTAAAAATATGTAATTACTTAAACGAATATTTTTGTATCGCTAGAATCAAATGATTTTGAGTTTTTACAAAGCCCCATAGCTGGTAATATGACACATCATTAACAACTTTTTGTTTGAAAACGTGATTACATATTTTTACTCAAAAAATATCCTGTTCGCCTAAGTACAATGTACATAATACAGTGTGTTACAATAACTTCGCTTACTTTTATGTTTCGAGTTTCCTTTCCATATAGACTTGAGTGACAGTGGCATTCTGGCAGTAGATGATCACGTCTATTTTTCCTTAGTTTTATTGCGTTTTAATATATTTTATATTATCTCGTTCAAAACACTATATTGTATTATTCTTATACTCTTAAACCTTTATAATTTTACTCTAATACAATGATGTACCTAGGTATTACGACAACGATAATACAGACGTACAAAGTCCTCTACTGTTTGACATGCACGCACGAATTATCAAAACTCTCACCGTGCACTGTATGTGTAGTGCGCACAGTGTACATAAAACGACTGACGAACAGTGGCGTGCGCGTGGTCTCCAGTCTCACTCACACTCTCTCTCGCTCCCTCTCACCAGCACTCACTCACTCTATCTCCCTCGCGCCCTCTCACTCTCTCTCTCTCTCTGAATCGCGCACACACACACACACACACACACACACCAATTCCGTTGTATAATATGCGTTCTGTGTGCGGCCGAACAGCTGCGTAAAAGCTCTTTTAACAACAAGCGATATAATAATATAAGAATTCACACACACACACGCGCGCGCGCACATATCGTGTATTTGATTTGCATTTGACGCGACATATCATATCGGCGTGGTAATTATATTAATTAAATGTAGGGGAAACTTCGAAAAGAGTTTGACAAATACTTAATTGATTTTGCTTTCAGTAAGCTTTCAACCGAACAATAAATTCGTTATCCAAATGTGAAATCCGACGATTTAACCGGTAGTTGAGTAACTGACGCGATGCATTAGTGTTACGACGATAGGAATTTCTTGGGTTTTCTGTCCGACTAGTGACTACATTACGTATATGGTACTAAATGATGTCGAGACGTTCTGAATAAGTTTTAAAACTTTGAAATTGTTTTCAATTCATCATATGCGTCGTTAACTAGATTTTGAACTAACTGCTAAAGTTAATTTTAATATTCGACATCTGTTTAATATATATATATATATATATATATATATATATATATATAGATAGATAGATAGATACACAATATCTTAATATTAAACTTTAGCTAGTTCAACAAGTGCATTAAGTAAAACTATTCGTGTGCAGCGAACATTATTTATTACTTATTAGGTATATATATATATACAAATATATTATGATGAAATATAATTTAAAATATTTTTATAATTTAACTTTACAACCTCATACAAATAATATTTTTGAATAATATCAATATTATATATTTTTGATGAATACGTTTTTAATCAGCATTAAATAATATAATAAGTAAATCAGAATTAAATCTATGTTAAAAGCCTGTAGTTATTTTACATTAAATTTCATATCACATTATATTCTATTTATTCTCATAAATTACAATTAATCATTTGAAATTTTGAACTTTTAATCACTATAAATATCAGAATTAATAACTGCTTATAAACCGTGAAGCAATATTTTTGTTACGAGTACCTGAATTAATTTATAAACACTGTGTGCTACTTATTGGTCCATTAAACGAGCTCTATGTCTACAGATTTAAAGTAAAAAAAATATGGAACAAAAGTAATTTTAGTTGAAAAATACAAAATAATTAATAATAAATACCTACAATAATTGCTTTTAAATGTGATACATTTAAAAAGGAGAGCAAATAACGTTAGCAACGCGTAATGATAGGAACAAATGCTAGAATTGATAAAACAATTAATAACTACTGAACAAATATCGAATACATTAACAATAAAAAATAATTAACTAATTATTCGATGAACATATTTTAATAGTAAATACCACATAAAATATTACAATAATATTTGTAATATAATTAAACTGAAATCCTGTTTTCCTGTTCATGTAAATATACACTTTTTTCTTGTGTAAAAAAAAAACCTTGTATTCCATATTAAATAATATTTTCAACAGATCGTGTTTTATTTTCAAGGAAAGATATAGATTATCGATTATTAGCTTAAATGTATAGAGAATATAATGAATCCCTTGTATCAGCACCGTTTTCCAATAAAATATAAATACATATTATTGTTACTATTATTAATATTAAATAAAATATATTTTTAATTTTTATTAATAGAGCAAATAATCTTTTATCAGTAAATTAAAAATATGTGTATACTTATTATTGCTTTAAAAACAAAATTTAAAATACTGTTGAATCCTACAAATTTAAATAATATGAATCCTTTTTGTTGTTTTTTTGTTACTATCATTAACTAGCACAGGTATTTTATTAAAATTATAAAAATAATCGTGTGGTGATTAATTGTTCGTATTTTTGAAACACTTAAACGTTTATTTCCATTATTTTATCTCTTTAATTGTCTTCAGTAACTACTAATGATCTCAATACTTATCTTGCACAAACGTGTTTTGTTATATATTAGTTTATATAACTATACAAGCTCCTGAATGCATATTATTTTAGTAAGTAAGTTGGAGATAACTAGGTAGTAATATATAATATTCTAAAAATAAAATGTACTTAAACAATAAAACTTAACGGCGTAATTTCATAATTTTTTTTAATACTTTTAACAATAGATACTTATTAATATATTCACATTATATTATCAACAATTTCACCTAAACATAGGAGTACAACGAACAGAAATATTATATTAAGTCGTGTCTAAATCTCTACATAATACAAAATAAATACAACATTGTTTTTAGATTTCATAATACGTAATATGCTCATCGTAAAATTAAAATTTTAACATTAATTTATAAATAAGAAAAATTGGGAAATTCAACAAAATATACAATAAAAGAAAATGGTCAAAATAATAAATTACTTTTTGTTTATCATGGAAAACAAAATTATGAATATTGTTTAATTATAATAACAAAAACCGTTATTAATCATAACTTTAAATATTAAATAATATGAATGCGATATAAATTATTAAAATAATTATTTACATTGAAAAAATATTAAATAACTACCTATTTTAAATTTAATTTTTTAACCATAACATATACTTTTATTAAATATAAAATTAAAGGTACACTTGTTTTAAAATATTACTCTTATTATGTTTACTTTGGTTATTTCGTAGACACAACAATAATTTACTGTGTTGACATACATTTCAAAATATAAATACATAGTTATGTTATAATTTAAACCATTATTCAGGGAGCTATGAACAGTATGAACACAATTTTTTAGTTACGTATTTTGACATTTAGTTTTACTGAATATAATACTAACACAATTATGTTGTGAATATATTATATTATGACTAAAACCTTTGAGTAGCGGACCACTCTCGGTTGCCAAATTTTCGTCCCCTATTCAGAGGGGATAAAGTTTTGAAATTCATAAAAATTAAATTTATAAAAGAAAAAAATATGCACAAAGTTAAATTAAACTATAGTATTGTTATTTAAGTCTTAACGATAAAATTATTTTAATATTTTAGATCAAGATAAACAAATAAATGTAAAAAAAATAATGCATACATACATAAATTAAATTAAATTTGATGTGAAAAAAACGATCAGCTAGACCAAGTTTAAAATTATTCCATCTCTGTAGTACAAATTCGTTAGAAATTTAATTTGCCACAGTTATAGAAGGGGAAAAAATAATACTGCTTTCTACTTCTATTGACGATATTAAACAATAAAATTTACGTCCTTCATAGCTGCCAATGCGTTTTATAAACTTGTAATTTGAAATTTTGAAGTTTCTTCTTCTTCGAACTCATTTTCTCCTTAATTTTCTTTTTATTAGTTTCATCAAGCTCATCGGAATCATCGGAATCATCATCATAAGTAGAAAAGATTTCATCCAAAGAATAACATAGATGTAAACATCAACACGACTAACAATCGATGCGATGATAAAGGCTCTTTATTTATAACCTATTCGGTATCAATTGTATGTTCATCGCATTGATTGTTTCGATGACTAAACTCACATTGTATGAAGTATTTTTTACAATTTTGGGCTTGACGTGGGCTTTAGCAGAAGTCCAAACATTAATAACGCTAAACTCACTAAAATTTAAATCTGCAACAGCTTTTTGTAGCAATTACTCACAATAGAGTTTGTTGACTGTTGAATCATTCCCTGGTCCAAAGGTTGTGTATGGGGGCATTAACGATAACGAACTTGATCATTGAACTCGTAATGAAATTATAAGATAAGTTATACTAAAGTGAGGCTTACAGTGGACGTTTTTCAGTCGTTGTTTAGTCATTATTTTTAAATTATGGTGAAAATTTCCTAGTTCCCTAAAAACCTTCCACTATTATAGATAGGTGTCCGTTATAAGAAGTTTCGCTATAATGTAATACCTAAAACCATAACTAAATAATAGCTATGTCATTAAGCCATGAGAAATAAATACATACCTCTAAAGACTTACGACAAGTACCTATGTATTATGCGATAAGTAAAAATATTAATAGGTACCTATGTATGTAAATTTACAATTTATACTCGCTACAAAACATCAGTAACAAGCTAACCAATTGCTCACCAATTGTATTTTCAAAAAATTGATGATATTAGCAAAGATAAATTTAGGTACTAACAACAATTATATGATAACACATTATCAGGGTTATTGAAATTTTTTATTTAACTCATAAAACTGAATACAGAATGTGTCAAATACCAAAAAAAAAAAAAAAGCTCAGGTTCTTAAAATACACTTGTAATTTATTATGTATATCTATAATATTTATCTTTCCCATTTATATATAATATTATAAAAAAGTATGTCGATATAATAAATTAAATGAAAAAATATATAAAGAAATCTTTCTTGCCATAAAGTATAGTCAATACCACCAATTAGCATATAGAAAACGTTTCTGATAATAGATTTAGCTCATAAACTTTTATATTAAATTGTAATATTTATACATCGAATTAAAAATATTATATTGTAAACAAAAATTATAATGAAATATTATTTCGTTATGATTATAACTATTTTCTTAAATCAGTACAATTACTTGAGTACTATTTCATTTTAACCTAATGTAATAAATAAATATTTTCAAAATGAATTAATATCTGTAATACCATGTTATAGGTACATATTAAGTAGGTATTTCATGTACTTGTAATGGCGATATACTTGTATTTAAGTATTTTTTGAGTACTTTAATTAAATTACATTATGCACTGTTATATACTCATATTATTTAACAGGTTATTTAGACGAATTAAAGTTTCAATGTATAGATTTATGTTTTTTATTATTCAAAAAGATTGGAATAGGAGATTTCTCACCTTTACCTAACATACGCGCCAGTGCATCACATAAGAA